TCTTCCTGGTTTCTTAATTAAATCGGACATAACTGTTTAATTAGGGAACCCAATTTGCATCACGTAAGGAAGGTGTAACTATGAAGGAAATATAAAAGCTGGTGCAGGTATAAGCACAGCTACTCAGTGGAGTGGATATGTGCTTTATCACTAATAAAGGTTGTGTCTTTTAAAGCATATAAATGGGTAATGTAAAAAAAGCACAATGTTAAAAGTGGGAAATAGCACAAGTTCCCTCAATTTTTCTGGTCTCCATACGTTTACACCCTTCATGATGTCACTTTGTAGTCGTTCCCCACCTCTTGAATCTGAACTGGACTGATAACATGCTTTGGCCAACAGAAAGCACTGAAAATGCCAGTTTGCCAGTTTTGAGCCTAGGCCTCAAGAACTTCTGCATGCTTCCATACCTTTCTCTTGGAAATATGCTCTGCCACTGTGGAACAAGCTCAAACCAGCCTGCTGTATAGAGGCATGTGGCCCAGTCACCCAGTTATCTGGCTGACACCCAGCCAACCCCCAGACATGAGAGTAAGACCACCCTAGATAAGCTAGTCTTAGACTATCTACTAACTAAGCCATGAGAAATATGAGCAAGCCCATACACAATCACTTAAGCCTGGCCCAGATGGCTTTAGTACCAGGCTGATCTAAAGACTCAAGAGCAGGAGCAAACAAATGAAGTTTGGAGTGGTTTGTTATATATATCAACAGCCAACATACTAATGATAGTCGTGATAACAGAAAAGGGCCATTAATCTGGCATGAAAACTAGTCATCAAATACTAATTTGTTCAGTGTGGTTTACATTTTATATACAGATATACAACCATAACTAAAGAGAAAAAGAAAACCTAACTATTAAAATACCCTGTGATTGGTAAGCCACCACCACCCTTTTTACTAAAAGTACTTAAAACCATTACAAACATAAATGCAATATTTTATAACAAGGCCTTTGGAAAACAACTATCACATGACAGCAACTGACTGTACATAGAGGGGAAGTATTTTTATGACAACTGAAATTGGAATTATTAGGTTTTTTTCCTTTTAGGTAAGAAAATTCTCCAGGGACTTCTAAATTTTCTAGGTGTTACTATGGAGACTTAATTTTCAGATGCACTTGACTATAAGAGCAACTTTTTAATATAAAGCAATCAAACATTACTTCAAAAAGTCAAAAATTCTAACCATACTAATTCAATATCTACCACAAAAAGTACACTAGTTTTCTCAATTGGCAGGCATCTAACGTATTTCAATAGACAACAGAGATCTCTCTTCAATGAAAAACTAGCACTGCTTTAATGGTCAAGTCACTGACCTATTGCTGCCAATATCAACAAGTTCTATCTGTTGCTGAGAGGGTAATTTTGTATGCAAGACAAGAACCAAGGTACTCATGACTGCAGACATAAATAGGAGTCACTTTTTTTAAAAAGGCAATGAAACCTTTACTAATTTTTAAAATCACTTCTGAGTTTCACATGATCTTTTTACTAAACCAGTTATCAAAAAGTAAAATCTGTTTTTAAAGCATTTAAAACAAGTGAAAATTCCTGTGTGGGTTTAACAGCATTAAATTTTAAACACATTTAACATATCCAGAGAAATTCTCAGAAGGAAACAATTTAGTTGATTATATTTAAACATTCTAAATGCTCTTCTCCTTTGTAAATGAGGTCTGTGGGTGTTAGAGAAGTTCAATGTCCAGGACTATCTTACAAATGTATTGGTACATTCACAAAAGCTACCAAAAAAGGATTTTCCATCCATTAATGTTTTACTATATAAAACATTATAGAGATATTCAATAAAACTCTAAAATGTTTCAAAGAAAAGCATAATTTAGTTGATAGAAAGAAGTAAAGAATGACTAAATTTATGGTTAACAAATATTCTAGAAAAACTGCATTCTCTCTCTCTTTTAAGAGCACTAGTCTCATATATAAAAAGGTGAATATAGGCTTTCTCAGACCATGGCACAAAACCTAACTTCCTGCCCTCCAAGTACTGCCCTCGGTTAAATTACAGGTTACCCACTCGTTTTGATACTAAGCCTGCAATATACATGAACCTCACCATGTTACATTAATTTCCTGCCCTAAAATAGCTAGTCTACAACTCCTACCCTCCTTTTCTTTTTCTTTCTCTCTCCAAGTAAAATTTCATATGCCATCATTCTAGTTCATCTTTTACCCCTCTCTCCTTTTTAAATGTTTTAGCATTCAATTCAAATATAAAGGAATTACAGAACCACCTCAAGAAATAGTGTTTTCTAAAACCTCTAAGAAAAACCTTTCCTAAACAGCTATAACAACCAACTAATCTACCTCAGGAAATAAATCTCCTTATTTATACAGGGTGGGACAAAGGTAAGTTTACAGTTGTTTGTATGGAAAATAATACAATAAATAATAATACAAGAATAAACTCTGTGTACTCACAACTGTAAATCTACTTTTGTCCCACCCTGTTTATGCTGCAAATTCTCACTGTCCTCCCAGACACATAAAATCTACAGTATGACTATTTTAATCTATTTCCTTTTCAAAAACAGTAACACTCCTCTAATCAGGAAGACTTCTAGAAACATTAAACTTAGAAAATCAAAACCCTGGAGACAGAAAATAATTATTCACAACTAACATGTATTGAATCTACCTACTCTGTGCCATGCTGTGTTTTTCATGCATTAACCTCCACAATGGCCCTGTGAAGTAAGTACTATTATCATCAGAAGAAAATCAAGTTCTGAAAGTAAGTCATTTTACTCAGGTTCAATTAGTAATTGTTGAAACTGGGATTCTAAAGCAATCTAACTATACAGAGCTCTGCATTCTTTAAGTGAAAAAGCAATCGAAAAAATATATATTATAGACCAAGCTTTATAGAAGCAACCCCCCAGATCTTCCTTACAATCTACAGTATTGATTAATATTAGTAATCTCATTCCGAGCATAAGTCTAACAATTTGGTGATATAGATCTCCCTGTTCACAGTTACTAAGGTGCAGCACATCTGACAGTTTCTTTTTTTTTTTTTTTTTTTTTGCCCCTTGGCTGAGCCAGCCTTTGCCAGTGGCATAAGCACTTTGTCGCAGTCAATGAAGTTGATAAATGAAGTACCCTTATGTAAGCAGGAACTATTAATAAAACTGCTCTTAATGGGTGGCAACAAGAATTGAACCATGACCTCCTGGTTCATGGGTCAACGCTCAAACAATGAGTCACAAAGACCAGGGCAGGTGCAGCACATTTGTAGGAACAGGTAGTATTACTACTAGGACCAAACCACATTAATGAGTTGGGGAGATTGGAGGGGAGATGCATGCACACACAAGGAAAGATGACATTTATTATTAAAAAGCTACTACATTATCATATTAAATAGTCCTAAGCTGTTATATTTTCGAACTCAACTGTTTCTATATCCTTCAGAACAGTAAAGTACCTGGTATTCATGACAACTGAAGTACAGCAGTTCCTCCACTAATATCATCATTTCATTATAATATTAATGAGATGCTATAGGAACTTAACTGCTGTTTATATCAATTGTCCTATGGTAAAACTGCTTTTCTTATACAGGATTTTGCTTAAAATTATAGAACCTATCAACATTAAGTGAGAACTCACTGTATCATAAAATGGTATCAAAAATCATATTCAGCATTATCTAAAATATAGATTTTAGAACAATTCCTACAAAAGTTTGAAATCATTTTTCTAGAAAGCTTAGGATGATAGTATTTCCCCATCTCTCAGTTCAAACTCTTATTCTCTCTTCTTCCTTAGAAGACAAACATTCTCAAATCCCTGTTTTCTGTCCACTTCTAACTTGCACACCCCAACTTAATAGTCAAGCTTCTCAAAGAGTAGCCGACACTCATTATCTTCCACTTCCTTACCTCTATCCTCTTTGCTATAGCTTCTGTATCCAGCTTTCCAGTTGAGTTATTTTTGCTAAAGTCATCAATGTCTCCTTATTCCTAAATCTAATAAACAGTTTTCAGGTCTTATTTGCCCTTTTAAGCTGGGATTTAACATTTCAGGTCCCTTTTCCCCCTACCCTCTTCATCTTTTAAATTCTGGTCAGTTAGTTGTCTTCCACATTGCCACTCTCCTGTTCCCCTCTACCTTACTACTTTCTGCTGGACTCATTTTCCTCTGCCTGTCCCTCAAATGTTGGATGGTCCCTGGCCACCTTCTCTTCTGTTAAGAATCCTCAAAAGATTATCTTAACCTCCATTCAACCATGCTATATACTACACCTCTAACTCTCTTGCCCGCACAACTCCCCTGGCAACTTTCCAAAGCCTCCCACACATCTTCAGGCTGCTCAAACTCAACATGGCCACAACTGAACTGATCTTGGAAAGCCAAAGAATAGAGCGTTGGAAAGTGTACATGTACAGGGAGTTTTATTTTGTTAGCAGTGGGGGATGTTCCCTATTATCCACTGGGTGAATGATTTTATTATCCTAAAATCATTATCCATCCAGTCTTTCAAGACAAATAGCTGGGGGACATGCCTGACTCCTTCCTTTTCTTTTTTCTTTTCTTTCCTTTTTTTTTTTTTTTAATATATTCAATTGACTCTCTACAGAGAGGAAGGGAGAGCGATAGAGAGCCAGAAACATCGATGAATGAGAAACATCGACCAGCCGCCTCCTGCACACCCCCCACCGGGGATTCGCCCGCAGCCAAGGCACATGCCCTTGACTGGAATCAAATCGGGGACCCCTCAGTCCGCAGGCTGACGCTCTATCCACTGAGCCAAACCGGCCAGGGCTCCTTCCTTTTCTTGACCCAAAGAGCCAAATAAATCATCAAATACTAAAGTAAGGTTGTAAAACATTAATATTTTCAAATCCCCTCCCTTCTCTTTACTCCCTCATCATTTCTCAACATTAGCTTGTTTAGGCTTTCCCATAATATTTATAATTGCTTATGGCTATCATACTTATCATATAACATGTATATTTCTTCATTAACCTGCAAACTTAGTGACAGGAAACCGTGTCTTGTTCTTTTTATCCAATGCACCTAGGAACATATAAAGAGTAATAAACATAAATCTGGTGAATGAGTGATTCCAAGAAGCTAAGTAACACCTCAAAAGATGTACAATTTATTAACAGTAGAGTAGGAATTTATGTGTAGTTCATCTTGCCAGCATTTTTCAATAATTAAGTACCATCCTGGTACAGCAATAGCATATCAGCAGTACTCTGCATATTCAAAGTGACAAAATATTCTTTTCTTATGTTTCTACGTGTATTTTAAGTTTTCTATAATGATCACACATCACTTTCATAATCAGTGAGAAAACAGTATTTTTAGAACAAACATGAATGAAAAATATTTTGTTTTTAGGACAATATGTTGTGAAACTGGAAGCTGGAGTGGGGTGGATGCATTAGGAATCTAAGAGAAAATACCAAAAAAGAAGTACTGCTTTAACTGAACTTGAGTTAAGCTCACCCAGTGACTGTAAATAGGTTTACAGATTCATCTTAGCCAGTCAATGACTTACATGAAAATGGATCTTTCAACCAAAGATGTTGGCTAATAATGGGGGGCAGGGAATACATGAAAATTTATCTCAAATTCATTTTCCAGATTTGAACTCAGTCATAAAAATACAAGAGGAGAATTTAAGTGAATATCTTTATCAACCATTTCAAAGTGTTATCTGAATCTCTAGACCCTTTTAGGGGACCCATGAGGCCAAAACTATTTTCATAACAATAATAAGATGACATTTGCTTTTTCATACAATAGAGTTTTCCAGAAGCGACATGTCCTCTGATAAATATTGCAAGAGTTTAAATGCAGAGGCAGATATGAGAATCCAGCTATCTCCTATTAAGCCAGAGATCTGCAAAATTATAAAAATTCTCAATAATCTTTTATTAGGGAAAATAAGATTTTTTCATTAAAAAATGCTTATGGTAAATGTAAAGGACTTATTGTTTCTTAATAAATTAGTATTTATACATTTCTCAGTTTTAATTTCCAATGTGGCAAATGTCTACAGATGTAACCTCACATGAAAAAGAGCTCCTCGGGATCCTCAAAAGGGATCCTGAGACCAAAAGTTCAAGGACTGCCAATTTATAGAGCTTGAGGAAGGGGCAAGCTTCTCTAAGCATGACCCCAAAGCAAGATCAACCAACAGTTATGTTGACATAAATATTTTAAACTTCTATACATCCAAAAATAAACATAAGCAAAATTACACGAAAAGTTGACAAATTGGGGAGAATACAACATACAACAATGGGTTCATAGTATTTACATATGAAGAGCTCTTTCTGCATCACTAAGGAAAAGTCAAACACCCACCAAAGCACCAAAATAGGAAGAAAGACATGAAAACTAATGGGAAAACAGTGTAATACACAAAGACCAATATACATGCAGAAAAATAAACTTCGAACTTATTAGCAATCAAAGCAATGTAAATTAAATCTGATTAAATCAGCAATGGTGTTTAAAAACTGCCAAATTCAGTAAGAATGCAGGGAAAAAAGGATCCATATAAATTACTGTTAGATAAATAGTTATAACCTCTCTAGAAGGCACTACAGAAACATGCAGCAGAAATCTTAAAAGTGTACCTACTCCTCAACCTCCAATTCTAAACGGATGGGATAAAAACATACCTAAAAGTCTGCTACAATATTCATTGACACATTATCTATAATTGCAAAACAGAAAACTAGAAACAAATGTCTACCAAGGAGATGGCTGAATATATTATAGCATTTCATTGTGTGGATTGCTTATCTGATGATTTTAAATGTTGTATATGGAAAGATACCTTTGATTTATTAGGTTAAAAAAAAGGCAGTTAAAATTTTGATGATTCATCTCAATAAAATATGTCTATGTGCAAAGAACTAGGATGTGCTAGGAATTTTAGTTATATGCCAAGCATTTTATATGCCTTATCACATTTAACCTTCAGAACTCTATGATATAGGCTGCTCTCTCTAAACTTTCATTCTCTCATCTGTAAAACTGAAATAAGTAATTTGCCCCCAAACCATGAAAACTTCAACTCACAAAACCATTAGATATTGAGGCCAGATTTGACTCTAGGTCTCACACTCAGACTATATTTTGTTAAATACCACCTATACACTGAAAGGTTAACAGTAAGTCAATACAACTATCTCCCCATACCTTTCTTTTTTCTCTTTTTCTTTTCTCTTCTCTTTAATCTTATATTTCTTTTTATAATGAATGCACTTTATATTTTTAATTTTAAAAAAGAGTATTTTTATTTTGAAATACTCTAGCTCAAAAGCCAAAGATTGAACTTGTGGGGAAGCAGGAGGACTTTGCAGCACAACTTCCAAACTCAGTACATCTTGTTACTTAACATTCTCTACAGACAAATTGAAAATAAATAAACAATATCAGCTTCCTTTGGGAAATTTCACAAAAAGTTTATGGACTTTAGCATCAATAGACCTCGTTTAAAATTCACAATAAGCTATGAACCTTAAGCAAATTATTTAACCTCTCTGAAACTCAACTTTCTTATTTGTAAAATACTGATACTGTAACAATACTTATTTCTCAGGACTATGATAAGCACTATGTTAAAAGGATAGAACATGTAAACAGTATAAAATATAATAAATGCTAATTCCTTAAAAAAATACATACAAACTGTAACTCAATAGCAAATTGATATTAAAATCATGCTGTGATTATACATTTTTCAATAGTTAATGGATCATTCTCACTTTCAATTTAAATTCAATCAAAGCCAAAAATACCTCCCCAAAAATAAATTATCCTGCCTTTTGAGAGATCCCAAGCCTAGAAGAAGTACTGTGAAACAAACATTTTTATCGTCTCTTCATTACTGAATCTATCCTACTTGACTTTGTATCCTCGGGAGTCTAGCAGAGTGCAGAGCAGAAAGTTGGCCTAAGTGTTGGATGAATAAATGTGGAGACCTTGGAACATCTAACACTCTGTCTAATAAGTCCCATTATCACTCAAATCTAAAAGCCTTCACACAAAGCTGTGGTGCTCATTAACATTCAACAACAGTTTTGATTTCAACAAAGCAATCATGCAACAAATTTCATCCAACTCCCTTCCTCACAATATCTTATTTCCAAACACACGTACCTAAAAACACAAAGTCCCTGGGATGAATCTTAAAGTCAGAGAACAAGAGAGTTCTTAAACCTTAGCTCTCTCACAAGGGTCAATAAGGCCAGAATGTCACAGCAAGCTAAAAGGTTTTTCCTGTACTTATTAGTCTTTCTTGGTATTCATTCAGCAGTAGTCAATAAAGGATATCATAAAATTAAGTTAATAATGAAATAATCCCTGTTTGGGGATTATTCAGAAAAAATTTCAGAAATTCCAGCTTGTCTATAAATTTAATTGCATTACGATACCTACAATGAACAGCCATACTACAAACAACTAAGGAACCCTAACTTTCTGTAAATACTTCAATTTCACCTCCACCATGAATAAAGCATTTAACCATTCTACAAATACTGAGTGCCCACTACTGATTATTCAAATAATCCCACAAAGTGCCAGGCATTGTTCTGAGCTCTGGGAACACACAATGAACTAAGGAAACAAAAATCTCTGCACTCACTGGAGTTTTTATCTTAAAATGGGGAGGCAGGAAGAACAGAAACAAACAAAATAAGTGAATTACATATAACAAGGTGCTAAATGCTTAAAAATGCAGAAAAGGGGAATGGAAAATACAGGGTCAGGGAGAGTAGCTGCAATTTTTAAAATAAGGGGTCAAGCCCTAGCCAGTTTGGCTCAGTGGATAGAGCGTTGGCCTGCGGACTGAAGGGTCCCAGGTTCAATTCTGGCCAAGGGCACATGCCTGGGTTTCGGGCTTGATATCCAGTAGGGGGCATGCAGGAGGCAGCTGATCAATGATTCTCTCTCATCATTAATGTTTCTATCTCTCTATCCCTCTCTCTTCCTCTCTGAAATCAATAAAAATATATTTTAAAAAAATAAATAAATAAAATAAGGAGTCAAACTGCAAAATAAACCATACACAGCAAAAGAACTGTAAAATAAGTAAGTCTTTATAGAATTACATTTTAAAATCTTGATGATAATGGGAGAGGCTCTCTATGTGTGGAAGCATGTATATGGAAAGATACCTTTGATTTATTAGGTTAAAAAAAAGGCAGTTAAAATTTTGATGATTCATCTCAATAAAATATGTCTATGTGCAAAGAACTAGGATGTGCTAGGAATTTTAGTTATATGCCAAGCATTTTATATGCCTTATCACATTTAACCTTCAGAACTCTATGATATAGGCTGCTCTCTCTAAACTTTCATTCTCTCATCTGTAAAACTGAAATAAGTAATTTGCCCCCAAACCATGAAAACTTCAACTCACAAAACCATTAGATATTGAGGCCAGATTTGACTCTAGGTCTCACACTCAGACTATATTTTGTTAAATACCACCTATACACTGAAAGGTTAACAGTAAGTCAATACAACTATCTCCCCTCCCCCCCCC